TTATGTTCTACTTGAAATCAAATTGCACGAAATTAGCGAATATACATTCATTTGCAAACCAATTTGGTTCTTTCGAGAGACTCACCTGGAACCCAGCTGAATCTCTCGTTTACGAGTCTAAGTCTAGCCTAAGACTTGAGAGGTTGTTCCGTCGGTGTAGACAACATTTGCTAAGCAAAAGAGTTGGAAATATCAACGTCTTGCATATCAAAGGGGACAGATATCTGGGAAATTCGTAGGATCGGCGTTTAACTTGCTGGTGGCATGCATGCGTTCACTACTACTCCGACATGCGACAGCTCTTTGAGAAGAAGAGTGTTGCGTCATGTGCGGTAGCACGGTTCATTGAGAGACAGAAGGAAGAGTAGAAACCTCGGAAACACTCGCCCTGATCTTGCGGACCACCGAAACTCATCTGAAACGAGTGGTTTATCAACGAGTGTGTGATTTAGTTCACCCAATAAGAACACAGTCCGCAGATTGGTAGTGTGACAGCCGTCTTCTCGCCACAATCAGTCGAAATCTTTTGGAAAATTTGGTCTACTCAAGCAAATTCAGGTAAGGGTGTGTAGGTAAGTAGGTCGCTAGTGACCTACGGTGTCTGTCAGGAAACTGTTGTTAACCGAATCACGAGGATCAACAGAGTCCACAATTCCATTGAGGTTTCCGGGGATAAAGCGCATTAAAAGAGATAGGCTATAAGTCGAGATAAATTCTAAAGTGTGTACCATGAACCTTGGATTCATTTATTGGCAGAATCTATGGACAGACGACCTTAGTTAACATGGTCGGTAGTGTGAAACGGCTTGGTGCTGTACATAAGAATGGTACGGAGAATGGTAGAACCTCGAGCAAAATGGTTATAACAGTACTTCTTGAAGGATATCAGGAATCGGAAATGCGGGGAACAAAACGGAGAGCAGAAGCACCATCTGAGTGCTTTCGCACGATTCCGTAATAATCGGCTTCCAGATGTCTCATCAGCAATAGACCTGAGGGAAACCTAGTACGATTTCGTTGTGTTGAGTGCGTTCAGGCTTGTTTGATGAGTATGTGGCCGGAAACCAAACTGGAGACTTGGGGTGGTAAACCACATAAGGCACCAATAGGTCAAACAGTGATACTCTTTCGAAAGGCAGTATGAAGAAACGATTCAACTAGGTGATCAGGACGCTCTTTTAATAAAAAATGATTTTTTTAGAAAGTGTTCCTGAGAATGACAACGGCCTTAAAATGAGACTGAAATTTTCCAGTGCTACTGTAGCGGCTAGCTAACATCAGAACAGATCAACAATCAACCACTGGAGTAAGTCTCAACAGGTTACCCAGCATAAAAATGGACAGCACCGATTGAAATCTCTTCAAATTCCATGAAAATAATATGCAAACAGTGAATGCCACAACCTCAAAACCCTAGGCGGCTTATGAGAAGCCAAATTTGGTGCAATTCAGTTTGCTAAAAATGCGAACTGAAGTGGCACCATATTCACATGAACAATGGTGAGCTTCGTTATTGTAATTTAACTCATGTTCACCAAATGGGATATTCTGCTAAATTTATCATGCTTTTTACTCGAAAAATCACTCTTCGCCCAAAAGACCGAGAGAGAGATACTGCAAAAAACGAGTGTATGAGATAGATGTGCGAGGCAACCATACTGCTGATGAACTATGCTTAGATAACAGGTGAAAAGTTCACACGGCTGGCCAAAAGGTTTAGGGTTGAATACCTTCCAAAAATGATATAGTGCAAGGAGTAAGCAATGATGTTTGCAGTCTTCGCAAAACAGGTTTAACGCATCAGTGGCTTTCTATGGGGGAAAAGAAACAAGGAACTCCTTGGAGTCAAATCAACAAAGTTCACAAGCCGGGACTCGGAAGGACAAAGATCACTCCAACATCGACCAGATTACGACGGCGGGGGATGCTAAGCTCAAAGGTCACGTGGGCATCGGCGAATGAGAACAGGGGATAATAGAGCAACCAGTGGAACCGCCCGACCGAATAACTAATCGCGACCAAAGGTCACCCCCGGCTAGCAGCACGTATAGCAACACACACGTAACACTAATCAACGTACAACCATTAACCCACCGCTACACACCACTACGCTCCCCAACAACGCACTGATGATGTCACCTCGACTGGTGATGAAACGGTTGCAATCAAATTGCCCAGCTCAGCGAACAAGCCAACGACCAGCACCAGTGGCTAGTAAACTTTATTACTGCTTTATTAGTAAGTTGTAAATGGTGGCGCTCGCCAATCCAAGCGATTTCTTTCAATGCATAGTTCCCTTCCCAATCTCCACACTTAAAGGTCCTGTATCTACGCACCAATTTAACAGCCCCGATCTCCAATGCGCAACTACCTACTCCACCTACCCAAATCATCGTTGAAGGATACTGTGGTAGCTACAACCACTACGCGGTTCTTACCGCTGATAATAATGATGATGATGGTTGGAAATATGCATCATACGGTAATATGTCTTCGAAAGAGGATAAAAGCGTTACTTCCTACCTCCTTTGCTGAATGAGGATAGATATTAGGATGGGTTTGACCTAGAAAGCTGTGATGAACTCTGAAAGAGTAGCCTATATTCAAAAGGGTCAATTTCTTGAGGAGATCAATGTACATAAATACTCATGTTCGATACTTGGCTATAACCATGAATACTGATTAGATTAGTATGTGTGATAATCAGAATAACAGGTAGCCTGCAACTTTGACTGCATACCGAGGTAATGCAAACACTCGAACAACAAATTCTAAACAATATTTTTAAAACACTGGATTATTCAGTGAAAATTCATACATTTGGTGCAACATTACAAACGAAATAGAATGAGAAAAAGTGATAAGACTCTTGGGAGTTGTTGGGAGTTGGGGGGAGGGGCGTCAGCTGTCGTGAGTCATTGATTCCTCTTGGCGTTCCGGTGTAGTCTCAACATCCAAGGCACTAGCAGACGACCGACTGCCAGGTAGTGGGGTTCCGACAAGGGAGGAGCAAGCTGGACCAGTGGTCGATGTGGATCGGTGTGATGAGGTTCCGGGGGGCTGTTCACTATCATCCCACAAGGTATACCGGTCCATGGGACGAATGGCTGGGGTTGGAATCGCGGATGAGTCTAGCTGACTAGCCGATGGCTTCTCAACAGCCCCCAAAGCCGAAAGCAGAAATCCCAAGGAAAGGTCCAGAGGCTATATAAAAAGCAAGTAAAAAAGGTAGTTGTCCGGCAAGCGTGAACTTTATTAGACTAAAGATTTAATGTACAGTCCGATACACACCACAAAGAAGTGTCAAGCATATGTCTAGTTTCCTGCATCCAGCGACTCTACGGGGATTCCACAGGAGAATGCACTGCTCCCCAATTAGATTCCAAGGTAGTAAGTAACCGGACGTAGTGTCAGTCGCGAAAAATGTACGAGGACATTCCTTTTCTCACTGTAACGTTTCATGCACGTTTTAACGTTTGTAAGAAGTGGTGCCATGTAGACAGTACACAGCCTGAAAGAAGTAACCTAGTATTCATTGTCACCGTTGCTCTGCTAACCAAAAGTGATGCGCCTGTGAAAGCTCCACACGGAGGACCAAGAATGAATGGTTCAGCAAACCTGCTCTTTATAACCGCATCAATAAAACCGTTTGGTTTATGCTTGTAAGCAAATATGGTCCATACCATGCCGTCTGAAACACCTTTCCCCCATTAAAAAACTGCTAGATTCATGCTGGTGTCCATCTACATCCGGTAAACACCATTCCAATCAAGATCACTTCGGTGTTGTTCGAGGACCGACTGTACATGGTACCAAATCCATTCATGAAGCCCAGCGAAACACAACAGTACGATTGAACCCTAGAATCACAACCATGCTACCAACATTGCAGTACATGTGCTGACGAAAAAGAGACATGTTTAGAAGATTATGTGGAGTTGTAATTTCGAGACACTGTTCAGCTGCATGACGGGGCGTACGTGGAGAATCGGCAAGAGAACAATTCAAAACGAACGCACGAGAACGCTGATATGGTCGCTGAAGGGTAGAAGGCGAGAACGCCACGATGAAACGGCCAATGAGAAAAACGATGGGAAACCAAATGCGGCTGACGAACTGCTCACGAGAAGGGAATAAACTGGCAGACTGGGTGGAGATGCGAACCTGCCAATGGCATTAGTAGAAGCACATCGTTGACATTCAAGTCCTTTTACCTTAACCAAAATTTAAATTGGCTCATGGGTGAGGTATCCCAAACGCGGATGAGATACTATTGCCTTGTTCAATAATGCTTGAGGACGGGCGGTCTATAAAAGGCTAACGACTGTCCCGAATAGCGAAGAAAAGGCAGGCTAATAGCGGAATAGACTGCTGGTACGCATGTGCCTACACATAACCGGCAGCGTAGTTCCTAAAACGGTAGTTTTAACAATTTGGCTTAACTTGACCTATTGTGAGGGAAGTAACCATTATCACCATTAGGGCATCCAAGCATTGAGGGGACGTCAAAAACTGAACTATGACAGCATGCATCAAATACACTTTCAGCGCGGAAAAAAATGAGCAGTCGTTCAGCTGTAGCACCCTTTCGGGGCCTAACGCCATGCCACCCGAATGAAGCACAACAGCTGGGATACTGCCAGGTTGCCCAAGCCTAGACAGAAGCTGAGAGGAAGAGGTCGGATTCGAACCACGGACCTTGCGGTCAGTACATTGGCGCTCTAACCACTTGGGCCATCTCGCCCACCCCTTGATGACCCTCAGTAAGCAGTGTCATGCAGGTCGCCGTTATCAGGGACGAGATGAGGGTCTGCTCAGCAAGTAATCAGTTCTAGGAACAGACACTTCATCCTTAGGGATGGCTTCGGGAGCTTGGATTTAGAATAACAGAAAAACGTAGCAGATCAAGGTGCCAATAAATCGACCACATATGTACACACAGCCGAAACCAATGGTAAGTTTTGACAAAATATCGTTGATGAGATATTACACTGTGAAGATGAAAAGTGCGGAGGCGAGATGGACCAAGTGGTTAGAATGCGAATTTACTGACCACAGGGTCCGTAGTTCGAACCCGACCTCTGCCTCTCGACTTCCCCTGTCTAGGCTTGGGCAACCTGGCAGTATCCCAGCCCTCGTGCAACCTTCGGGTGGCATGGTAGCTAGGCACCGAAAGGGCGCTACAGCTGAACGATTTATTTATTTATTTTACACCAAAGGTCTCCACTTACTTGTGACTGTGTCGTGGCCTTCGGCTGTTGCTCTCGATTATCAGGATCCACGTCGGCTACTTCCGGCTCCATTGGATGACCTACCAATAGAAGTTTAAGGCAAATAAAGTTTACTTAGCTGTTGACGGGACCTTAAAGATTTAGAGCGGTGATCCTTCGGATAGTTAGTTAGTACACGGCAAAGCCAATCAGATTACATCCTAATGGGGACAACCAAACGTGCGATGCTTCTCGGCATAGGATGATCGAACAACGAACGACAAAACTTGCAATAAACACTCACCCAAACCTCTCTTACACCCATGAGATATACAAATAGAGTAGACAAGCCAAAAATGAGTCATTATAGGTCTAGAAATAACTGCGACTCATTGTACGATGGACTAACGTTCCTCTCCATAAGGTACGGTGTTTAACATCACTCACCAAGGAGCTGCTAACTGTAAGTGTGCGCACAACAAAATCTGTTGAAGTTGTGGATAATAATCATGCTACCCAAAAGCTGTCAGGCTCGTAGATTGATTCGTTGTAGGAGTTCAGAGAAACTAAGGAGTTAGATCCAAGCGAGGGCTCATTAAACGCATTTGGACAGGTTGTCACCAAACATCTACGTGAATATCCGTCCCCGCGGTCAGAAGAGACCACATCAGTGGCCAAAGCTTCTTCTACGCGCTCAGTAACACCTATGAAGTACTAAGAGAGTGTAGCGGGAATATGGGTTGTATTCGTCGAAGGTCGGCCACATTAGCTGGGTTTATCAGGACACATCGCTTGTAGTGATTCGACTGCCGAAGTTGTAAGCTGGTAACTGGTTAGTTGCCGAACCGAACTATGTACCAACAACAAATTGATAACTCTTAACACAGGTACTGGGGCAACCATGTGCAACAGATGGCATTCAATCAATGGAAGGATGTACAAGGATAATGCATCGGATACAAATTAGAACCTGGTGGAGGGACATACTCGCATCGGTGCAGTCCCTGGGGCACGGCGTATCCGCGACTGCCTCAGAGTCCCCTGCTTGGGTAGAACCCGATGCAGGATCATGATCCTCGATCGCGTCATCCGTAGACGTGGGATCATCACTTGTTCTGTCTGTGAGAACACCTTCAACATCACCAGCAAGTACGGTGATTTGACGAAACATGGCTTTGGCTTCCTCACGCGTTTCCGGAAATTCCAAACACTTGCTCGCCGCTGAAGCCGAATCTTCGTAGTGTCCCATTTGCAAATGGTACATGGCCAAATACTTGTAGGCCTGAGCGAGTTCCGTTTGGCTGGGCACCTGAGGGTATGAATAGGATAAATTGTATTCGACGTGACAGTTCACTGCAACACCATTTATCACTGAAGCAAAAGTAGTGTGGGTGTAGGACAAATAAGCTGGATCGTCCTAGAGGCTGTGGAGAAGATGAGCCGTAACGAATGCAATCGAATTCGGTATTTAAGTGAACAACAGATGTGATCTCAGGTGTAGATTTGGTGTGACAAACGTTCTCGTGCGCGCTTCAACATATAACAACCAGCACATGGTTCCAGATCAGGCCGGAAGTCCAGTCAGCTGGTGGATCAGTTTTCGGGATTATTGCGCTGCCGTGTTACGTTAGAGATGAAAGTCAAAATGGTACTTGTGCATCACGGTCGCAAGTCGAGTACTAAAGATTGTTGAGATCTCTGATACTCAAATGGTTCCGGTTGAAAACATCAACCTACAGATGAACTGACCAGAACCTATGCACTGATGTGCGATTTGCGCCAACTCTATAGCCACGCGTTCAGAAATGTGGGTAGTAGATGGAGACAACATCGGAATTTCACATGAGTAAATGTTATTCCTCACATAGTGCATTGTGGAGACAGCGTACAGTAGTACTTAAAGATTTATGCAGACTGGTCTACATCAACATGTCTCCCATGGTTGCAAGCATGGAAGCGGAGAAACCTGTTCTTGGCGGCGACCACAGTACAGTAGTCTACTTAAAAACACCCCTGATTAACGACTCTCCCAAATTTGAATGTGTGGATGTGTAAAAATTGCTATTATAATTACATAATTGCCTCAAAAACAGGACCACTCCTCTAGTACAATGGAATTCGAGGTCATCGTGATGGGGTATTCAACATATAAACTGGCCGTTTGACGCATAACCAGACGCCTAGAAGAGGTTCGATTGCATACTAAGCAATAAAGAACATCACGCGTGATGTTGCAGAAACCATGGGCCCGGTTGGTGACAACACACTACTGATTAACTTAACTGTGGACGAACACATCTTAACGATAAGCCAATCCAACATACCCATCAGACTGTTTCGGGACTCGAGCGTCTCTGAATGTTCATTTGAGGTTATCAGTATGACAATAGTAGGGGGTATTTCCGCGATACGGTGCGCAAAACGAACATGTATTAACCGGTCATAGTTCTCTTAATATGGACAAGGCGACGCTTATGAGTATCCATCATCAGTAAAGGCAGCACACAGCATACCAGTGTTTAAAGGTTATAAAATCGTGAGAAAAGAGACCCCAAGTGTAGAAACAAAAGCCAAAGATAGATATTTGTTCTCGTGTCTCTCGGGAAAGCGACACAGAGTAAGTTAGCCGCACCTTCTAACAATATGCAGACACATTTAAGTACGGTGTGGAGTAGAACGCCATTAGCGTGATTACCAGAAAATGCTTTGCGAAGCTCACAGACCAGCGACCCTGTACACTATAAGAGATATGCCATAGCTAGGTGGTTTGGCTACGACGTCACAGAACCCGGACTAACTGAATCACATCAATTAGCGACTTTAGGCATGTGCAAAGACAATCAAGCATAACGGCGCGAGGATCTCAGCGCTCCGTCCGACGGTGGCCGTCCTCATTACATGTTACCGTGCCGTGACCGGTCCTCGGCGATTATCATCATCATCATCGATAGCATGACATCAGTGTCCAACACCGATGCTTCACTGCCGTAAACCTCCGAACCTTCTACCGATGAAAGTTCGGAGCGAGGAGGAAGCTTTCCTTGATAGGTGTGGATGGGCTGGTGCTGTACACGTCGCAATCACCTTAACCAGATAAGCTGTTGTTGTTCGTCGCAATCACCTTAACCAGATAAGCTGTGTTGCCCTAGTGGGTCTAATACGCAACCAGGTGCTTGCAAACAAACCATTTCGGTGCCAGCAAATGAAGTCTGGTAAACGCCAAAGGCGCTGACAAAGAAACGTTTGAAGACGTTCGGATAGTAAATTGCGCAATCCTGTAGTAAGAATGCTCTTAGAGTTGCCTCTTCAGCTTCAGTAGAATTTGTGTCCGTTGCCATAAATCACACAAATTGGTAGATATTGCATGGGCATGGTGATAGGTGCACTTACTTCACCTGCCACATTGCGAGCAAGGCTCGGGTAGTTGTCAAAATCATAAACCAGTCAGAAAAAACGCAGGCCCACACAAACGAATCGAAAATTCTCAGCCAAGACTCTGAAAACTCAGGGTTGATAAAGAACAAGCTAGGGGTCATTTCAGAAATTCTGTTTGTAATAGATTGCGCGGGCTGATGGCTCACACTGTCTAAGCTCACTCGTGTGACTTCGATATCAAGATTAAAGGTCCATTGCGATAGGCATTCCATGGCCCATTCGATGACAAAATTGAACAAAAGAGAAAGGATGCAACCCTGATGGACCCACTAATAATTGGGAAACTTTTAGATAGTTCATCAGCCTTATAGTATCCTAGGCACGAGAGTTCAAGAGACGAATTCGATCTAAAAACCTGTAGATTCCTTCTTGACGAGGTGTACGTGGAAGGTTCACTCCACACACAGAATCGAAGGACCCTTCAATGTCCAGGAATACCGTGACTGTCGGTCACTGTGTTGATGCCCGGGCACTTCGTCATTTCATCCCTTACTCGAAAAAACGCTGCCTGACGCTTTCAGATTTGCGTCTCACGTGATGCAGTATTGTTTACACTTTGGCCGAGCTATGATAGGTGTATGATCTATACATCTACGATTGGAAGCGTCATCCCGAATGCATTTTTGCGGTAAACTGCTTGGTTTATCCAAACTACCTAAAAAGCAATCAGGTGAAAAATGCTTGGAACCGATTGAGTAGTCATCGTTTTCGGAAAAGTTTGGTAACAATCGGTACCTGAAAAGCACTTAGGTCTCACAACAAGTTCAAATAATCTAGTTAAAACAGAAAAGAAAGAGTTGCTACCGTCTTTAAATAACGCTTCTGGACAACCATCTGGCCCACAGGGTTGAGTTCCACAGTTTCACGACGTGCCTTCAAGATAGAATGAGTCACCGAAACCATGCTGTGAATCGGTCAAAACCTTAAACACCACGGGTTTCACCACCATCATTATCAGTGGTTGATTTAATCAAGTAATTATCTGGACACTAGTCGGAATGAAACGGTCAACAAATATCATGGATGGCACTGCAGATGGTTCCGTTCTGTTAACCCACTAGATTGAGTGACACACTCTTGTGGGTCAAATAATAAAAATAAAGACGGAAAATCTCTTGTTGTCTAACTTTCCGGTACCAGGCAACATCTCGATTCATCCATACATTAGGTATCAAAGCCCAGGCTTGGTAACCGTCACGCCCCCCCCCCAAAAAAAAAGAGACAGGACCGAGAACTATACAGACTGAAAAATTTGAGAAGGCAAAAACAAAAGCGAACAAATCTCCGTATGCGAAGTCGCAGGGGTGGCAGAACGAGGGAAAGGATGAAAACAGCACGACGAGTTGAATACACACCGCGTAGTGATCACCGATTCGTGGCGTTTACTCACCCCATGACGTTTGCAAAGTTTTATATACTCCGTGTAGGCAGCTGCAGCCTCAGCCACCTCCTCTGATTGAATAAAGCATTGCGCCAGACGAACAAGTGCGCTCCCTTCAATGTCTCCCACACAATAAGCCCGCCAGTAGCACTTCTTTGCCTCGTCCAGCCGATTCAACCGTTCATAGATCTCCCCCAGTGCCACAATTAGCCGGGAATCGGTAGGGACGAGATACTGGGCTTCACTATAAAAACGATAAATGATAAAGAGATCATAATCCGTATGATAAAACCCTGGGCGACGTTACATTAGACCGAAGATGGAAGAAACGGATTTGAAACATGATATCCTACGGGAACTTTACTATAAACAAACTTTAAACAAACTGAACACATAAAGTGTGAGATGTCCGTGTGATGGAACGCGTAAGCACAGGGTTGAATGGACAGGGGAATAACAATGAAACATTAAGTAGCATTCAATGGGGATGTTCCGTGTCTTGAAAGACTGGGCCGCGCCACCTGGGTTCGGACAGCCACATGGGAGTCCTAGTAATCAACAGGTAGTATCCCCACAGTATCACCTAAAGACCGCCCAGCCTCGATGGACAAGAGGAAGAACGCACATCACGGCTAAGACATAGCATCCGAACAACAATTTTGTTTCAATTCAATACTTTGGGGAGAGATGGCTCAAATTGTTAGAGCACGAATTTAATGGAAGGAAGGTCCGTGTTTCAAATCCCACCTCTGCCTCTAGACTTCCGCTGTCTAGGCTTGGGCAACCTGGCATTACCCCAGCCCTCGTGCTTCCCTCGCGTGGCATGGCAGCTAGGCACCAAAAGAGTATTACAGCTGAACGATTTTTTGGAATACTGTGGATGCAATCGATCAGCTGACTTCACCACAATGGTAAACATTTAACCACCAACTTTCCGGTATAGCCAGGCTCATCAGAGGGAGCGGTGGGGTACCGGTAAACGCAGGCTAACAAAATTACTTGGGTCTTGGGGCTCAGACTCAGATTCCGCGGCCCAGTTCGGGTTAATATAGCAATAATGAATAATCGTTCAGCTGTAGCATCCTTTCGGTGCCGAGCCACCATGCCCCACGAAGGAGACACGAGGGCCGGGATACTGCCAGGTTGCCCAAGCCTAGACAGAGGAAGTCGAGATGAAGAGGTCGTATTCGAACCACGGACCTTCCGGTCAATAAATTCGCGTTCTTACCACTTGGTCCATCTCAACCCTTCGGGTTGATCACACTGCTGGTCAGGCGCTGGTAGACCAACTATTGTGTACAAAATACTAGTCGCTAGGTAACAAGTTTGAAACTCCATGGGTTTTCGTGAGATACGCACTGGTGGTGGTTCCCATTAGGGATAAGACAGCTATACAGTCCTTTTTGGCCTTCCAGCAATGAATATCGTTTCCCATCAGCTAAGATTAAGTGAGAATCTCTGTCTTCTCCTTGGAGGAGAACCAAAATACCATTTCCTCATTTGTGTCATATTTTCGGAAATGCATTTGGCTTTCCTTCTGGTAGGCCAAAAAATTCGATCGGGTGTTTCATGGAGTTGACAAAATCAGTCTGGTCCGACTGACGGTTGACCTTGAACAAATGAGGGAGCAAGCAACAGCAAAAACAATAGTATGTGTAACTACTATGTAAATGACCGTTGTTTTTAATCAGTGGAGTTAAGTCTGAGCATTTTAGGTCTTAGGGCCGGTCGACGGTATATCCCAGATGCGGGCTGTGGTTTCGGCGCAAAACAGACGACGTCCTGCCAAATCAGGTACTGAAATGAATTGGTCGCTGCCTATAAACGAAACGATAACTTATGGATATTTGAGATGGTGCTTTCTTCCGATTTCAACTATGAGTGTAGTGGCCGTGGTGGTACTGGCTCGTTTGACATCGCGTTATGCTTGGGGATCCAGATTCACAAGGTAACACAGAGTGTTGGTTCTGGGTTGGCATCTCCAAATTCGAGATCATCGAATTCAGAAAGAGAAGAACAGTTCTATGAGATGGACAAGCCTGATACACGACGTATGAACCCTTTTTGCTGAAGAAACCGATGAGCCCAGCCTGGTATCCCATACTTACCGATAGTAGTGCAACGCAAAAGATGGGAGATCCAGAATTTCATACATCTGACCAAGACCGTACCAGGCACGAAACTCGTGTCTGTTGTGAGCGATAGCTTGTCGGTATGCGTGAACAGCGGCCTTGGTATTCCGCAATTCAGTGTATTCGTGACCTGCCAGAAACAAGCCGTATGTTGGATCATGGTATCATGTGAAGTTTACAGGAAGTAAACCTGGATACATAGGTGAAATAACATTTCATTTAACACACTACAGTGTCCAGCAACATTGGCTGCTTAACCGTAAGAAGTTCAGTCTCTCAAACGGACATTTCCCAAACCCAGCTGAGCAAGAACCTTGGTGAACGAGATGGGCCAAACAACCTTCGACAGACAAGCAAACCATGACATGTTTATAAATAGCTGCACGAACTGTAGCGAATTTCAGTCGGCTGTGCTTGTTAATCACTTCTACGTTAAGCGAAATACACTCATTTGCATACGGATTTGGTTTTGACGAGAAACTCACCTGGAACCCAGGTGAATCCGATTAGGATCATAAGCGGGCGATTCGCCAGGGTTCCAGGTGAGTCACCCATCAAAACAGATGAGTGCATGAGTCAAACTTCTGGATGTCCTTTAACAAATGTAGGGTAATATTCGCTAACGGAGTCGGAAGACTTCAAAGTTGTCATTCAGAAGGTTAATTACATACGATGGAAAAATTAGTGCGACTACAACCACGAGTACGCGTTGGTCAGGCAGTAAAAGATGGGGCAAAAATTATGAAGAACTTTTCAAGCATCAGCTCAAACACGGTTGAACAATGGGCACAGACAGTCGTATACATAACCCGATTTGACCTCAACCTGCGATCTTAGACCGCCACCACTTGGTCCTTTCTGGAGGATCTATACAGACAGCACAGTGGTATTATCAAACACACAAAACGGCAGGTGAAAGTGGACGATCTGAGGCTATGGATGGTGAGAAAAGATTTCGAAATTGTAAGTGTTTAGTGAAGTCGATCTGTGCAGAAAATCAGGGAACTACTGAATATCATCATCATCAAAGACAGCAACATCAGTGTTGGCACTGATGCTTCACTGCCGTACAACCGTAAGGTTATAT